TTTTTTCTGAACAACCATCGATTTGGTGATTTATAGCTTTCCTCGTGTATTCTTTGAATTCATTTGGTATTTATTTTGAACTTACTGTGGTTCTGTCCACTCGACATCTAAGTATGAATTAGTTTTCATCTCTTGAGAATATCATTCATGGATAAGAAACTAAGGATGCTACTGATTCAAGATGAAACACATCACTATACACAGAGTCAATTAATATGAATTCCTCATATGAATGAATGACAAATCTATTCACAACAGATTTACTGCGTATAAATGGAAGTATGCATTTCCAAAAAAAATAAAAATAAAATGATATGAACATATTAATTATGATAGACTAGCTTCAGAACAAAATGGAGTGTTGATGGATTTTAATAGAGGGAAGATGCAAATAAATTATAAAACATTCGTTTTTGATAGTGCAGAAGACATGTTTCATGGTTTAAACTACAAACAAAGAAACATTTACGTGTACATAAAAGATGAGACTAGTGCAAAATCAATATTCAATAAGTCAGTCGAATATACTTTTCAATTTTTCTCATTCTCTGTGACACACATCGGGAGCGGAGGAAAACTCTTAATCAAGTTACCTCAAATTCTATGCAAAACAATATAATTCAAAGAAATGAGAACGACAACTAAAAAATCACATATTTCAACGGCACACATAAAATGAAGAAAAGACGAACTAAGGGTTTCTCAATAACATGAACAAAATATCTTTCTTCGATGGGTCGAATTCTAAAATATCACTGATTCTTTTTCACTAACGCTGAAGCATACTCAAAACTAAAAAACAATTTAATTTGATTACGTAGAAAAAAACCATAGAAAATTGCAAAACATTAGAAAAAGTAACTGTATCTATGCATGAGAATATTTTTAATATAAATGAATGATTAAGAAAAGTACTCTCCCGAAAATTTCCTTCAGATTTCATAATTTATCATTATACATCAAAATGAAACATTTATTATTGTATAATTGTGATGAAGGCCTTCTGTAAAAGTAGGGTGTGGGGGTTGGTAAATCGGAAGAATACCCACACCCTAAATAAATTTTATCAGATTTCATAAATATGTTGGTTTTTTCTTTGCAAACAAATAAAATTTTCTATCATATATCGTTTTAAAAGCTATTCAATAATAATAGCAATAACAAAGAGAAAGAAAAAAAGTCATGCTATTTTTCATTATATTCATTCATTGTCTAATAAGATAATTGAAAAGAATATCAATGTTTTCATTGACGATATCAGTCAATTAAAATTATTGAATACAACACACATATATATCAGAGTTGTAACCGGTCCGGTTGAAGCGGTTCCACCAGCCGGTTTTTATCGGTTGCAATATATCTTAAGAATATACAGATTTTTCAGATAAAACTTGTTGATACCAAGTTTTTATGCCTTTATCAAAATAATCAAATTGTTTTATTTCCAAAATTATACATTTTTTTTTTCTTCTGTTTCTCAATCTATTTCATCTCTTTAATCAATATGTACTTTGTTTTTTAAAAATTTTGTGAAGATGAAATTTAGGTTCGAGTCATAGTCGAGAGAGAAGCATTACATTATTTGTAAACGTAAAGCAAATAAAAATTTATTCTCTCAATGTGCGAAACGTCTTTGTTTTATAATTAACTTCTACCTATACATTTATATTATAAGAAAATATTTAAAAAACAAGGCACAAAACGCTCGAGATTATGCCTTTTCGAATGAGTCATATATTAATTTTCTTGTTAAAATTGATAAAAGTTTTTTTTTTTTTAAATTAGTTGTTTTTTCCAAAGTAAAAATCTCTATGCATCTTGAATGAAAATTCGCCCCTGGTATCACTTTTCTCATATGAACAAACTTCATAAACTTCCCAATTTTTACCGGTCGGAAATTATTTTTTAGACCGGCTGGTCGCCGACCGTACCGAAACCGGCCTAAAAATTTTCGACCGGTTATAACTCTAATATATATAGTCTTAGAAAAGTAGATATATGTAGACAAACAAACATGAAAGATTTATTAGTTCAGTTGAACGATTTACCTGATGAAATTCTTCTGTATATATTTAAAAAATTATACAATGGTGAAGTGCTTTATTCTTTAATGGATGTTAACCCTTCGTGGTTGTCGTGGGGTCCGTGCGGACCCATCTCACAGTTTTTTATTTAATACTACATCAAGAGCTTCTGTTTCGGGCCAGTTCCCTTATCTAATCTCTAGTCCTATGTTGGTCTACAACATCCTTATTAGAAATCAACGATAAGCCTAGCAGATGAAAAATGCAGCTGTGGGTCCGGATGGACCCTACGACAACTATGCTGTTACCAGCATATTTTTCGTCTTGATAAAGCTGTCATCTGTTGATTCACAATTTTTTTTTAAATTATTTACTTTGGTTGGCTTATATTTTACGTACGTTTTTAAAGCAGTTGAGCAAAAGTTTGACAGATGCACAAAATCGTCGGCGTAGTCAAGAAGTTCGGCTTATGCCTAAAGTCAAACTGGCGTTGCTCTCACTAGGTTGTCAGGTTCACTCAGAGAGCATCGAAGATGTTAGCCAAAACATCCAAATTCATCAAGCCAAAAAAGGTGTTTCCTATGTCCAGCTCAACCAGGACGAAAAGTTCGACAAACATGTTCCAGCTGTGGTCAAAATGTTTGTTTGTCTCATTACAACAGTGTCACAAAAGTAACTTGTGAAACATGCATGGAAAAACATTAGAGTATACTTTGCATTTATGAAAAAAAGATTTATATACAAACAATATCATCAGTTTGATAAAAAAAAACTGAGTTTTTATTGCTTTTTCTAATAATAAAGAGAAAGATAAAAGTAGCTATAGTTCAAAAAGAAAAGTTTCTTGCTTTCTCAATTGTATAATTGAATATATTTATAACAACGTACGCGTAGAATCCTACCATCTAGACTAGATTGATATATTCTATGCTTTTCCCAGCTATTATCAATGTTGCTACAAAAACGATTAGAGAAAGTAATTTTTTGCGATATCATACATCTTTACATTGTTTTCACGAGAGCTGACTCATTAGTTTTTTTTATAAAGAAAGATCTCCATCTCTTCGTATAAGTCAAATGAAACGCTTGAAGAAAGGAAAAAATCGTTTTTTTTGTAATTTTCTATAGGTGGGTCCAGGCGGACCCCAGGACAACTACGAAGTACAAAAATCAGGACAACCACGAAGGGTTAATCAACGATTCGATAGAATTGTACATGATACCATTTTTACTCGTGATTTATGTTTACTAGAATATTGTCCAGTCGACGATTCTACTTTTCCACTTCCAGATCCAATAATTGATCGATTTTGTTCAAAAATTTTACCTGAAATTGGACATCAAATAAAAACTCTTTTCCTTTCACGAACATCAATAGAACGTGTTCTTTATACTACAAATTATCCTAATTTAAATCATCTTGGCTTATGTGATATTGAATACAAAGTAGCTAAGTCTTTGTTTGCTGGTAAGAGATTTTCTTTGATTTATTTCTTTGTAGAAATTTATAGTTACTGGAAAAACAAAATGATTATATTTTGAACATATATTCATAATGAAAATATCATCTACTAATAAAAAATCATTTTTGATTTCACTTTTATTTAATACATGAAACATATCCTTCATAGGAACGTCATTACAAGAAAAAGAATTTAATCATTTATTTGCAAAAAGAAAAAAAGAAATATTGATAATATATTCGATTGAAATTTTTCAAGATTAATAGTGATAATATATAGGGAGTCTAGAGTAAAATCAGTAATTAAAACAAGTCAACAAATGAGATATAGAACACAACATTGATCTTATACAATGTAATCTATGAGAGAATTTTAAAAAAAGAATAGATTATTAAATAGCAAATCTTAGATATTTTAATCGAATCAATAGAAACAGAACTGAAAAACTTTTTTATCATTTACTTTAAAACTTTTTTTAGATGAAAATTCTTTAACTGACATGTTCAAGAATCAAATTTCATCACTCTTTATCAATTTGAGTGATAAAGACGATCTGATTTCAATGGTACCTATGACTTCAATTATATTTAGAGAAATTTTCGACAGATGTACTAATTTACAATGCTTAAAAATCAATCCATCTTTATTTTATCTTGACACTGTAAATGATGTTATGACATATAGAACTACTATTTGTTCAAATTTATTAGAATTGCATGTCACTCTGATACGTATGGAAGACTGTCTTAATATACTTGATGGACTTTTTGATCAACTTCGTATACTTCATGTTAACTTTGATGATATTTGCCTTGGATTTTCCAAATCTGAACATAAGGTAGGTTATTTTTATTAGTATTTTATTTGTTTAAATGAACTCATTTTTTTTTTGTTTTCATTTTCAGCAAAAACTATTACCAAACTTACGTATTTTTTCTTTATGCTGCGAGGAGAAGATATATAAGTATGATAAATCAATTGTGCCACTTCTACGTCGAATGTTAAATTTAGAAGAACTTGATTTAAAAATTACAGTTAATTGTGATGAAAAATTTATTGATAATGATACATTGAAGAAAGATATTATTATTTATATGCCACAATTATATAAATTTACATTTAATATTTGTTCAACTATTGATCATCATAGTCAAATTAATTTTCCATTAAATGAACATATTCAGAATACATTTAAAAATATTTTTAATAATCAAATAATTACTTCTATTGATCATTTTCAAGAAGAAAGATATAGTCAATGTCATATTTATTCAAATCCATATAAATGGAAAATTTATAATAACATAACAAATAATTTTCGAGATGGATTATTTACTAGTGTTACTCAAGTATCATTATATGATGAACGTCCATTTGAATATGAATTTTTTCTTCGAATTCAAATATCATTTCCATTTATGAAAGAATTAAGAATAAAAAATCGAAAAGCACAAAAATATAAACAATTTATAAAATCAAACAACAATAATCAAATATTGCCAATTATTAAATATCCGAATCTTACTCGTCTTGATCTTAGTAATACTCATGATGATTATCTTGAACTATTTTTATTTGATATGAATATGTCTTTGCCAAATAATCTTCATCTTTGTGTCAATTATCAATCACTGGAAAGAGTGACATATTATTTTACAAGATATATGATACGAAATCATTGTGCAAAACTTGCTGCTCTATATTTTGATTCAGTGAATCAAATGGTTGAATATATCAAATACTATTTTCCTTATACATGTATACGTTGTACCAGTGATTATTATTTCGTAAGAGACAAAAGTTCGCATACATGTTCCTATCGATATATGTCTGCAACTACTTAAACAATTTTATCAAATAAGTAGTCATTTTAAAGAGCATTTATTGTGTTAAAAATAAAGATTATAATTGAAGAAGTAAAAGATAACCAATGAAGAAATCTTTTACAAGCGCTTTTGACTCTCAGAAAACAGTTCTTTTTTTTCTGACTAATGAGAACAAGAAATAAATTTTTTCATCTAATATATATATATTCATTTTTTTTTTGACAACAAAATCTAACAGAGCAACTGTACAATGAAAATAATCCTATATTTATTCTACAGATAATTTACATTGACAATTTTGTTTAAACTGACATTTGATGTATATCCTTTCTTAACATTTTTGAATCTAATGATTCGTCTTTTTAATTTCATTAAAGATTTTCGTTGTTCTTGCCTTTCTTCATAAACTTTATTGGTCAAAAATTCCTATAATTTGATTTTCATCTGT